TTTCAGGGCCGGGGAAGGCACCGATTAAGCAATGTGTCCTGGGAATGCTTGGGTCTCGTCTGTTGGGTATGGCCGCATTGGGTTGGTTTAAAGAGGCCTTCGAAATTAAGTGAGTTCTTGAACCTTTTCTACGATCAATGATGGAAAAAGAACCAGCCTGTCACATGCAGTGCGAGCTCTCAGCTGAGTGTGAGTGTGGGCTTTCGGCACATGTCTAAATCGGCTCCGATAGAGCTCAGGTGCTTAGGGTGCTCCAGGGCCCCGGCCCCGGCCCACAGGCTGTAGTAAGATGTGTGGGTGACACAGTGACAGCGGTGAAGGGAAATCTGTGGACACCGACACCCTTCACAGCCACGTCAGCACGGGTGCATGTCGAATGTACTTGCTAATGTTTTCTTAATGTAAAAATGTAAGGTAGCAAAGAATGCTCAAATTGCGCCCACTGAGGGGTACAAGGGCTGGAAGAACACGTGACAGGCACACTCGAATGCCCACGGGAAACGCAATGTGGTTCTGCTTGACCTGACATTGGGTGCCTCACGGTGTGAAGAAACCAACCCCGGGAAAGGGGTGGCCAACACGGCCTCGGGGCTGGTCTAGCATTTCCCATCCCCACAGTACTTTCCTTTAAGAAAAACGCTTGGTAAAATATAAACTTAGGGCATTCCTTGAACACTTAAATTTCAATGACTTCCCAACAAGAAAGCCCTGAAAAGCCAGAGGTGAACCTGCCTTTCTTGTCTAGAGGTGTCGACCTACAGTCACCTCCGTAACTATCTCAGCCTCCGATCTTCATAACATGAACTGAAACTTGGAAAATAACGAATGAAAAAGCACTCAGCAAACAGAAATGGCAATTTAAAATGGAGCAATGAAATCTGTTTCTCCATTTTTTCCCCCTGAAAAATCAAATGTGTAAAAAGCTCCTCCTCCCTAGCAACTTTAAATGATTTATTAGGGAAACAAGGTGGCTAATATGGTATAGTTTCTTATTCCTAGCCTCAAAAACCAATCAAACAGGTATTCTGACAAAATAGACCAACCATAAACTCGATGTTTTCTTTAGAGCAAGTTGGATTGAATAGGGAAAAACTCTAGCAACATGAATAGATTTACAGGATTATGACCCAAAGAGACAAAATGCCAGAAAAAAATAAAGCTTAGGATCTAATAAGATTACTCAGAATGTTCGATCTCTTTTTTCCTAGAGAAGTTTTGTTTTGAAGGGCATGGGTTACTGAAGCCAAACACTTACTAGCGAGGAGCCAGTTTAAACTTGAGTGATCGCAAACGCTTAATTGCATTTTGGCTATGTGAAGAAGTGTTTTCTTTTCACTTAGGTGGGGCTGGTGTGCACGGGGAAATCAGTGTGTGTGAAAACGTCACTGAGTGGTGGGACTGAGTGGTGGAAGCTGGCGTGACAGCGTCTTTTCCGCTTGACAGTACAACGTTAAGAAAAACGTGTGGACCTGACACGAGCTGGCTGGGTCTGTTCGGCTGCTAGAACAACTATGCCCTTTTGTATCTGCATGTAATTTCCCACACCTGTACCAACTGTCAAAGAATACCGCGGTTTACCAAACACGCGTGACATGCTAAAGACGGTACCGGACAGATGTTCTGATGGAGGGCATGCCACGCGCTATTCTGCATACCTGTGTACTCAGGTGGGCAAAGGCAGGTGTAGTTATTAATCCCGTCCACACATGTAGAGTTGTTTTCACAATCATTGTCTTCACAGTCATCAACATTGACTTCACAATTTTCTCCTTCGAACCCATCAGCGCAAATACACCTGGGCACCAGGAGAGGGAAGGGAAAAACCATGCGTGTGCTGCATTTTAAACCAACATTGAGAAAAGCAATGCACATACTCACCAATTAGAGAGCATTTAACTACAAGAAATTGATCGTTATGATGCTTTGTAACGACAAGTTGTAAGAATCAATTTAAACGGGTCCCCACCAAGCCAGAAACCATTCAGAAAAGACCTGGGCTGGCAGCGAGATGGCGAAGGCTTGGCAGCCACAGTCAATACGCTCAGCTCAGCTGCCGTCTAAACACACACCGCCACGCCGCGGGCCCCGCTCTCCACTCACGCCACGATGCGGTAACTCGCTTCTTTCCCCGTAAGTGGAGAGAAGCTGCTTCTGATTTTTAAAATCACAGCACCTACTGCCCTGAGCATAACGGGCTGGATGCCTTGGGAAAAAACGAGATCTGAAAATAAAATCTTGCCTCCTGTGCAATTATCAGAAGGTTCTCTTTGAGTTTCGATAAATCCAGTTTCCCCCCAGCATCACACATCGGCCATCTAATCTTAAGTAATTATCTGAATAATCTTTGAGTAACACCCAGAAGAAAACATTGTCATGACAGCACGCAGAAGTGAGGCATATTTCTTCTAGAAAGAGCCGTTGCTAACAAGCTGTCATAGTGGATCAGCATTCTGAAGTGTAATTATTCCTGTCATCTGATAAAGAATTCCCTCTCATAATTCATGAAGTGCCTCTGACGTTACTGTAGCGTGTGATTAAGTACCTCCAGGTTAAACATGCTCACAGCACGCCTGTCCCCTTGTACTGTGGCTAGCGAGTAAGTCACTAGCTTTTGGTCGCAGAGAGACCTCCTCTCAGCTCCTCACACTGTCTGCTAAAGCAGCAAGCGGAGCGACACAGCACGCGCCCTGCAGGGGACTGGTTAGCGATCAGCGAGCACGCGGAGCCCAGGCTCGTCCTGCTCCCGTCCGGCTCGATTACTCGAAACCTGCCTACATGACTTTCTATCCCGCTGGATGTCGCGGTGTCCCGGGGGGACACTACATCCCCATTCATCTTGAATATTATAATAGCACGGAGGCTCAAAACCAATCCACGTCGTCTTCAGTCTCCTGCCTACGTGACTTTCTATCCCGCTGGATGTCGTGGTGTCCCGGGGGGACACTGTACATCCCCATTCATCTTGAATATTATAATAGCACTGAGGCTCAAAACCAATCCACGTCGTCTTCAGTCTGCCACGCTTTGTATTATTCACTTATTTATTCATTTAAAGAGAGATTTTTGCTACAGGTACGTGTGCTTGCCGGAGAGACAAAGAGATAGAAAGCGAGAAATCACCCTCCGGGGGGATGGCCACATTGCAGTCCCTTCTCCTCCATTCTCCTCTCGGGTTTTGGGCATGCACGTACATACGCCTGGCATGAGGTTTAAGCTGCCAGGTCTGAGACTCGAACTACAGTCAACTATGTGGAAGTCCAGTGACATAACCATGACACCATCTGCTTGTCCCCTGGCATTCTTTTCAAAAGACAACACTTTGATTTAAAAATAAAAACACGCATCTCCACAGTGATTCTGTCCCAGTAGTTCCAACACCGCCGGTCACAGACTGATGACCTACCAGAACCCGTCTTTCTCTCCCTCCTTCAAGTGGCAGGTTCCTCCGTGTTTGCACGGGTTGCTGATGCACGCGTGGATGGGGACATCGCAGTCCTGCCCCTGGAGGAGGGACAGGCAGTACAGTTCCGTGTCAGTCTGGACACACAGCGGGGCAGACCGAGGCAAGACGGCATGCCGAGGAAGCTGCGTCTCCCCACCGCGACTCCCACGGTCGCCGCCTACCTTGAACCCGTAGGGACAGGTGCATCGGTAAAAGTCGACCGGGTCATTGTTGCAGGTGCCATCGTTCTTGCAGGGATTCGATAAACAGGGATTGCATTTGGCTAGAATATTGACATCCACAGGGCCTAAAAATTAATTTTAAAACGTCAAAGTGGGTACATTTTATTCTGTTTTACATAAAATTATCTATATGTCTTAATAGTAAATTGTGTACAATTTACTTTTGTCTCTTTTCCAGGAGAACACCAGAAACCGGCATTATCATATAATGTTTGAGGATGCGACACGGGCCTTGGCACCGTGAGCCCTCTGAAGGCAGCGTGGGACCCTGGCGTGGCTGCTTAGAGTCAGGGTCTAACTTCAGTGATGGCACAGGTACAGGTGAACCCCTTCCAGGACAAAACCATGTCACACGTATGGTTTATACATATGGAAATAAACCCAAAATGTATCTCCATTTTTCCAGGAGGACAGATTTTCCCTCATCGTCTCCCAATACAGCGTTTGTTTGTTAGCACAATGTGTGATGGGCGAGGTTTCTGTGTCTTCCTCTTCGAGAAGAAAACACCATTGAAATCTCTACTATAATATCTCATTTAAAAAACCTCCTAACCCGTGACAGGTTAGATCGAATGCCGATCTGGCTGCTGTCTTTCTTCTGGTCAGTTGTCCTTGTTCCCTATGTGGCTAACGTTCCGGAAATTATAGACCCCCAATGCAGGCTTTTAAACCCTATGTGAGAGCTCCGTGGAGTGCCCCTTGGCAACGAGGTCTGACCAGGACAACGGCAGCGCTACCTTCATATACAAAATACAGATCTTTATCCTACAAACGGTAGCTCCATTTCTGCCATCATAGGGCCCTCGGTAGTTCTTGGTCCTCTTTGGAGCGTGCAGTGAAGTTCCAATGGCACGTACCGTCATACACGATCTGACCAAGTCATCCAGGGCAGCTGGAGAGCTTGAAACCCCACCCCCAACCGCCCTGCTCTAAACTTTTTTTTTTTAAAGTTTATTTATGTCATGAGTGAGACAGGGAGACACAGAGACAGAGAGACAGCATCCCAACAGGGTCTTGATGCCACGATCCACCCCTGGCCTCAGCCAGCTCTGGATCACGGGCTTGCATGTTTCTGGCTTACTCCTGGAGCTCTGTGGATGCGGACCTGGGACCTCCCCGTGTCGCCTGTCACTGCTCCTCCTTATAAGGTACAGCCAACCAAAAAGGTGCGACTTCTATCCAGCTAAACTAACTTAAATCACGCTATTCTACACAGTAGAGCTCATGATGGCTATGGTCTGATGGAAACACGTGTACACAAGCACATGTGATTAACATGTGACCACAGGTACTCTCCATATGCCATTGTATCTCCCACTCTGGGAAATAATGCATTGGCATTTGGTAAGGGACTATATAACCCAACCATTTTCTCCTTCCTAAAGCTAACTGGCTCCAAGATGCATTAAAATACTGCCGACAAAGATGAGGGCTACAGAAGAGAAAAGAAAGCTTGCTTCAAGGATACAGAGATTCACAAATGCCACTGTGAAGACCGGCCTAGGCTCACTGGATTGAGTCAAGGTCTGGTCTTGACTTCAGAGCATTATCTACCATGTAGATGGAGGTGTGTTTAGCTTAATAATTCAATGGAAAATGAGAAAAAAAGTTGGGTTAACAGTCTGTCTCTGTCAGTTGCTTTAATCTTTAATGGGAGAACTGTCGGACCTCGGCTCCATTAAAGCTTGTAGGCAGAATTGCCTGCTTGACTGGAAGCACACTTAAGCACCTGACACCAATATTGCCACCCACTGAGAATTGTGCTGCACTTTGATTTATTGCCTACGCTCCAGACAGAAATGTTTAACTCTATCCCAGAGTCTGCCTTCGTTCTGGCAAACATGAGTGAGGGAAGATGCTCTAACACTGCCCCTGTCTAAAGTCAGTTCAGGAGAGAGGTAGGCTGTTTGATGTCAGCCCTAACTAACTGAGATGAGATTTTACATTTTGAAACCATTGGTCTAAGCTCCACAGTTTTAAACATCAGTCCCAAACATACACTTGCTAATAGCCCTCCATCACTAACTCATTCATTTGTCAAATATATAGGGGGGTCTGCTTTGTGCCAGGTACTAGTCTCAGTTTGGGGGGTCAAAGGCAACGGTCAAAGGCAACGGAAACACCTGAGTTCCTGGAACAACGTCGACGTCAGCCCCAGAGAGATACCTGAATCCACTAGACGAAGAACGCAAGAACTGAGCGTGCATGCTCGGACTATGTGTCTCCTGTCTCTGCACGCTGCCAAGGAGCATGGAAATAAAAATCTAAGATCGTAAGAAAGGTCACGGCTAGATACTCGAAAACACGGATTGAAATCAACTGAGAACTTAAGGACAGAGCCCCATCATAGATCTACATCAAATCATGGATGAAAGTGAAAGAGGTGTCAGAGGGACGAAGAAGCAGGCGAAAGCAGTGGCCCCATCTAAGATGAAAAGGGAGGGAACGGAAATAACTAACAGGAGTCACTGAAGTTGCAGTAGGCAAGATCTTGGTGTCCTTATAACTTCAGCAGAGAGGTGTTGAGATGGTCCTCAGATAATGGGGGTTAAAATACTGTAAATTTCAGGGCCAGCAGGATGCAAGGTGGTTAGCGCACTGGATTCCAACATGGATGACCAAGGTTTGAGTCCCGGACCTGGCAGCTTGAAAAACACACCAGAAGGAGAAGGGAGGAGAAGGGATTGGAGCATGGCCATCCCTCTCGGGGGTGATTTCTGACTTTCTCTCTCTCTGTGCCCTTCTCTCTTCGGCAAGCACACACTCATGGGAAAATGAAACACAATAAAACACAAACAAATAAACAACCTGTAAGTTCCCATGATCTAAATGGTTCAAAAAATATACACGCTAAATACTACATGACTGCTGGGCTTTAGCACATTTGCATGTGACCTTCAGATAGTCAATGAGCTGGAGTCAAAGTTAAATGAAAAATAGGTTATATAATTATTGTGAATATTAAAGATAACATGGATGCAAAATATTTAAGGACAGAACATTAATTGCTGGTTCTCTTCACCTTTTAAAATAACTGTGCTAAATTTTTCCTGGTGTTTTAAGGCTTTAAAAGTCTATGGAAAATCCGCTTTGCTTTTTAAGAGGGCACTTGAACAAATAACCATGCATACACCTGAATGTTTTCTTTGGCCAGTGAAGAAGTCTAATACCAAAAAGCCAAGGTTATTCCAAAGCTAGAGCTATGTGCTAGTGATAATGAAATGTGCAAATGCAGAATGAATTTGACCAAGTTTTAAATAATGCTCCAAAACTGATCGCACTAGTGAAATTTTCATTATTCCTAGTTTAGACTGAATTATTTACTTACCATCTTACTTACTAAAACGACTAAGGACAATATTAACACAATTTTGCGATAGAGAGCAATTGGCCTCATTCAAGCTTGTCAAAAACTTTCTTTTAGAGAAGGAAGAAACTGTCCCGCTCAGACAGTACTATTGCAATGTTATCGCTGAGTGATGTGGATTTTTTCCAGGAATTCCAGAAGCTACAGAATTCTTTTTTACTTTTTTTAAAGACTCATTCACTAAATTTTATTTATTTATTTTTTATTATTATTAAAATTGCTACAGGGAATAAGCACTCACCAGAGAGAGAAAAGGTGAGAGAGCAAAGCACCAGGTCCGAGACTCGAAGGAAGGCCAGCCTGTCCGGTGCCTTAAGCACTATGCCACCTGCTGGCCCCAGGACTGTTAATGTATATAACGTTAAGGGAAGAGATCCATCATGAGATGGTGAGAAGTTAGATTTTAGAAGGTCCAGATTTCTTGACCTTTTAGCTAGCTTTTATGAATGAATGATGAAACACTGTCAGCACCTTCTCCTCGACCCTCTGTGCTACCAAACCCTGCATGCCTGGGCCTCGGCCCTGTTCGTACCCTGTTCCAGGTGAGCTTGGCTCAGCACAGGAATCTTCTGATGACCTCATGGACCTGAAGGGCCAGTGACAATTCCACAGGTGTTTTATTTGGATATGTAAGGGGACTTCAAAAGTTTGTAGGAAAAAATAGAATGGATGCCCGAGTTAATTTTGTTGTAAAATTTTTTTGAAACCCATGTATGCCTTTTCCATCATACATGCTTTCCATGAACTTTCTGGAGATCCTGTTTATCTCTAAGCTTCCATACTGTTCTAGAATGGTCTATTAGCAGAATGTAAGCTTCAGGAGAATTCTGGGTACACTGGTACACTGGACTCACATGCCCAGTGCATGTCCACTGAATTGGGTAATATCCGTCGAATGAATGAAAAACAATGCACCGTTCAATTCCATTAGATTATTCTCTCTTTAGTACATTCACGTGTTTAGTGAATCCCTGTGCAAAATAAATAAATAAAAAGACTGGTTCAGGTGTCCGTCTAGGGAAACCATCCTGAACCAGGAATGCGAATGTTGAAACTGAGCAAAGCTTCACGTTTCACGTCGACTTTCCAATGGGAGCTTGGAGAGGCAGAACCCTTGGTTTATGGCTAGCTGCTTGAGCGCCCTAACTTCAGAGAGATTTAGCAGACCAGGATATTTGAGTTACAAAGGCACGTCCTCCCCATCTGTTTCCCACTCGACCACGCTCTGGTCAGGGTAGGAATTAAATATGTGCTTTACTTGAGGGACCAGCAGTTAGCGTAATGGCTATGTCACTGCACTTCCATGTAGTCACCCGCAGTTTGAGTCCTGGACCCAGTGGCTTAAAACTCAAGCCAGGTGTGTGTGCGTGCATGCCCAAGATCCTGAGAGGAGAAGGGATTGCAGCGTGGCCATCCCCCCTCGGGGGTGATTTCTCACTTTCTGTCTCTGTGTCTCTCTCTGTCTTTCTGGCAAGCGCACCTGCCCTATAGCAAAAATCTCTCTCAAAAAAAATTTACTTGATAGGGCTGGCGAGTGGCATGGTGGTAAAGGGCACTGGACTCCCACATGGCCAACCACGGTTCGAGTCCCAGACCTGGTGGCTTGCTTTCTCACTTTCTCTCTCACTCTGTACCTCTCTGGTCAAATTAAAAAGATATATAAATAAATTTTTTAAAAAGTTAAATAAAATAATTCTTTAAAAAAATTCCTTGAAATAATAGAACAACCTTTTCTAGCAAAAAATAAAAAAATACTCCCGTTATCCTCAGACATAACTGTAACCAGGCCCCTACACATGTAAGATTTGCCTTCCTGCTAGAATTTGAAATTCCACTGACACATCGTCATACTGGGAGTTTGTATTTACAAGACTTTCATGAATAAGATAAGAACACATTGGTGTATCTTTTGGGAAAGTGAAATTAAAATGTGAAAACCTCAAATTATAAAATATTTAAAGATACATCATTTTATTGCTCATAAGCTCATAAAGCACATATGCTCCACGCCACAGAATTCGCCAGTTTTCTTCAGTGAATTATTTTAATTAATAAAAGAACACACTGGGACCAGCAGATGGTATAATGGTTAACACTGCTGGACTCCCACATGGTCGGCTACAGGTCAAGTTCCAGACCTAGCAGCTTGGAACTCATACCAGGCATGTGTGTCCAAAATCGCAAAGGAGAATGGAGGAAAAGGAACTACAGCATGGCCATCCACCCCGGGAGGTTAGTTCTCACTCTCTGTCTCTCCCCGAGCACATGTACCTTATAGCAAAAAATCTCCCATGAATAAATAAAAGAACATACTTCACCTTTCACCACTTTGTTTCGTATAAATGAGTATTTCCAGGAAAGCAGGGGAGGGTGATTCAAAAACTTTCATTTTCTAGGCATGTTTCAGTAGTAGGGAGCAATCTTATTCCTATGGATAATGTATCTTGAAAATAATTTTATTGAAAATTATAAAGTAAACTTTTGCAACAACCTCTGGAGTAAGAGAGCCAAGTCTCACCCTGTTCAGCAGCTGAGTCACCCAGAGCGAATTGCTTAATCTCCCTAAATTACAATCGATCCATTTCTCAAATGGAGACCTGGTAGGACTCATGATAGGAATGATTTCAATTTTACGAGTTAAGAAAAATGGGGTAAGTCTTTGATTCTGCTAAATGCAATTATACGATATATATTCATTGCATCTCAAGTGTTTCCTTGCTTGCAACTGGTCTTCACCCGGGCTGTTCGCTACCTTGAAATGCACGCCATCTGTTGATTTGATAACTTAGTAAATATTAAGCCAAACTGCTAATGTTCAGCTGAGAGATTCAGAGCTGTTGATCATTTGTCAAAATTTCAGCTCAGCTGGTTCAAGGCAGTCCAGAACTTCCCTGCAGTGTGGCCCTCTCCTGCAGCTCTGTCCACCTGCAGCACTCTCCTCACCCTGGTCTGTCACCCAGACAGCTTACTCGAACACACGCACACCTCTGAAGTGTTAGACACTCCTCTGAAAAGATCTCTTCCTCTGAGCCCTTACAGCAATGATACTACCCAACATGGTGGCTACCTGTGCAGATTTAAGTGAAATAAGATAAAATAGAAAATGCACTTCTTCGCTAACATTAGCTACATCATAGGTGCTCAGAAACCCCTTGTGACGCTTGGCTACCTGTTGGACAGCTCAGATCTAGAATTTTCATCACTGCAGAGAGTCATCTTGGGTATTGCTGATGAGGACAAATTTTCCCTTAAGCATATTTCCATTAGTATATCAAGTCCATGAGATATTACATCGGTACATTTCTTTGTTCGTTTAAGAGATTTTTTTTTGCAATAGGGCCCATGTGCAAGCCATAGAGACAGAGAGACAGAAAGTGAGAAATCACCCCCTGGCGGAGGCCACGCTGCAATCTCTTCTCCTCCAATCTCCTCTCAGGATCTTGAGCACATATACATACGTGCCTGGTTTGAGTTTTAAGCCACTGGGTCTGGGACTCAAACCGCGGCCAACTACATGGGAGTCCAGCGACATAACCATTACGCCATCTGCTGGTCCCCACATTACATTGCTTTAAAGGTCAAGTGAGTTAGCTCAATCTCAAGTTACAGCTGAAACTGTGACATGACACAAGTGGAGTTTAAGTGTGCAGAGATCCCCAAATTTGTGTTCTAAGTTGTTTTATCAAGAACTATGATCTACCCAGAGGGTTGTAAATGTTCAGAAAATGGAGATAGGCACCAGCATCCTTCAAAGTGGGTAACGGACACCCCCAGGCTCATGGGGACACCCCCAAGTAATCTTCCCGATAACACGCCTAAGGACAAGCCTGCACGCCTGCTCTCCTTCTCTACTTTGACAGCCGTTCCTCCTCCACTTTACAAAAGAACGATGTACCTCTTTGCCCACTGGAAACTTCTCATGGGGCACTGACTCCCCCAAAACATCTATGGCAACAAAAGAAAAACTTAACATACCAATTACTTGCAAACCTCCTCTAATCAAAGCACATGAGTTCAGAGAGGAACTGCAATGATATTTTACTTTCAATTTTTAATACATTAAAATTCTGATACACAATTAGACTATTTAAATCAAGGATGTATGAGTATTATTGGCATGGATTCAAAGAAAAATGCAAAAACTTAGACTTGTGGTTGTGGGAAATTTTAAAAATTACAATTACACAGTTTTTGCAGAAAAAAAAGGATCCAATTCTTGAGGTATTAGACAGGAATTTAAGGAAAAAACTGAAGCTAAGGAAAATAAAAACAACGAAATACATTCAGGAGGATCTTGCATTGTTTTTTGTAATTATTAAAAATTTGAGTAAGGGTCAATTTTATTTCTTCTTGCAGAAATAAAATGTTGTTTATTGCGGACGTGTTCCTATTCTGATGCTCTGTATTGTTGCAATAAGAAGAAACTGTGAGGAAGACACTCTTCGGAATTCGCACACACCCCGGAGGGAAAGGGAGAGGATGCGGACAGCGAGAACGAGACAGTGACACAGATGGCAGCACGCGGGGCAAGCCAGAAGGGTTGGCCTGAACACTCGGAGGGCCTGTCTCCTTACCTGGTCTCAGGAAGCCACAGGGCCCTGGCAGCTCTAGGGCCAGGCACGTGTATAGACAGGGCAAAAGCAAAACATTTTACTTGTTAGAGGCTGTGACACGAATTGGCAGACATTCTGAACTCCGGAGCGCTCGATGCACTCGTAAAGAACGCGCAATCATTTCCAACGAGCTGTTTCCGAAATCCCTCCAGAAGCCCCGTTGTGTACGTGGCTGCCTCGGACGCCGCTCTGTGGCGTCCGGGGATGAGTGTGGACAATCAGGGTCTACCGCCCTTTTCCAACTGCACCTCTGAAGTCGAGCAGCAGTCCCCCCCCCATTTTAATCAAAATAGTCATTTTACAAAAAGAAAACCAAGTTTGAAATCCTCACCTTGGCATGTAAATTTCTTGGAGGGGGTTGTGAGTAAGAGTTTGTCAGCCATCTCCCCAGGACCGGCGCAGCGAGCGATCCCAGGCTCCTTGTACTCCGACTTCACCCAGTCGGACAACCACTGCATGTGGCAGTCACAGTAAAGAGGGTTGGCTCCAATCGCGCTGGAAAACACCACAAAAGCACACACACACACACACACACACACACACACACACAAGGACGGGGGCACTGTTATTTCCTAAGGGCACAGAAGTCGGAGCGACGCTCAGTAGAAAACCCCCACAGACTTAGAGCAGATCCCAACTTAGGGGAAAATGATGACACTGGGGATTCTCATTCCTTGACTGCAGCTGCGATTTAGCGAGCTGTCGCTCGAGTTAACACGGAGCAGGGATCCACGCGGTCTCCTTCTACTTGGAAAGACAGATTTAGGTGGGGTGTAAGCCGACCTAACACTCCCTTCACCCCCCAGTATTTCCTGAGAACTCAGCCCCTACTGCCAGGTTCTAAGGACCAGCTATGGATGACACGTCGAGGTGAACTCCAAAGAATCTCTCCTGCCCAGGAGATTCGCATGTACTCAGAGACACACATGAGATTGTTACTGGAAATGCTGCCATCTAGGCTACCAAGATGACTGTGAACAAGATGACGTTTCCTGGAAGGGCTTGTGGTTCGGGAAACCTCGGCTGGGTGGATAGTCAAGGGGAGTGCGTGGAGAGGCTTGGGAAGGCCAGGGAGTGCGAAGAAAGGAAAAAGGAAGCGCGTAAAGTGCTGAG